CGTAAATCGGTTTCTCGCGACGTGTTACCCCTATATCTGATAGAAAATTGACGAGTTTTGATGAAAGATTTCTGCTTAAAAGTTGGTGTGTGAAAGACCACTTTATCCCCTAGACGATCATGATTATAGTGCTTTTTGCCCCCATTATATTGAGTGACGCAATGCAGCAATGACTTGTCGTTCGTGGAGCTAGGCGGTCAGGATCTTGGAAACCAAGTCACAGTAGGTCGAGACCTCGCTGGAGAACAGTGACTTTGCATCACAGAAGGCCCAGATCGGCGGTGAAAACCGATCCTCGGCAAGTGGTTAGAGCAGGTTCTGAATACGGACCCTTCACTCAGATGGAGCGGGTTGTACGGAGTACCTGTTGAAGGTGGCAGAAAGTCTGGTGGCTGGGGACCAGCCACCTGAGTTTTTGATATAGTATATACTTGCCTCTGGCCCATTATAGTTTAGCCAATGAATTCATTATCCAACAGATTATAAGCCTGGATAGCGCAGTGGGGCAGAGCAGCGACGCAGCAGCCGAACGTGGTACGTTCGAGCCGCGCCTGCAACTGTATTCCCTTAATTTTGAATTGTGCTCAAGAGAGTTGCCGAGAGCTAGGGGCTGAGAGCTAGCAAGCTAATTACGTCAGTTAACCTCCCTGTATTGATCACGGGGGAGTGTTGAAGTGGTATATATCACTGCTCCATACAGTGTAGACAGGCGATCGTCTTCTTGCATTTCAACAGTACCATACTCGGAGGTGCTGAAACGCTGACTTGTGCGGCTTGAGGTGTTTGCTGAATGGGAATCAACTGCGGACTATAAGTGGCCGCCCCTTGTACATAAGGTACAGATATTGCCTGTTTATCGAGTGCCGTCATTGGCTTGATGGCTGTGGCCTGTTCAAAAGGGATGCTGGATCGACTACGAGGATGACGTGCAAGGCAATGCCCACAGTGACAGGTCGAAGCATTGGAAAGATTAGGCGTTCGAGGTGCAGTTGCAAGATGACTGCTGTCTAATTAGCTTACTTGAAGTAACTACGCCACAAAAGGTCTCACCTACTATCGCAAAGTTACTCAGCTCCAGGCCTTTGCATACGAGCCAAGACGCCTTACCTGACCATCTACGTGTCCCTACTGTCCGAGATATCGTCAGGCTGAAACAAGCGTCGATAAGGCAAGCAAGGTATGCAAGGCAGAAAGAGGATAGTGCCCAATAGAATAACGCCCACGCCAGGGTTCTTGGAAGGGTCAGCATTCCCGTTTCTCTGACCAAACGACCAGTGGATTCTTGGACCGTTCATTTCTCTTACTTGTTGCTGGCTGCTACATCCATCCTTACTCCAAAAGGCGGTTTGTTTGGTGATCCGTCCGAAGATTCCGCTACTTTGGGGGATTTCTAAAAACACAATCTTACGGTATTACCTTTCTTGCATGTTTTCTTACTTGAAGCTAAGCAAGGGTTCCCCTAGCACAAGCTGGGGTTAATTAGCTTCTGTTGGAGTATATCTACTTGGCTGTTTGGCAGGAGCTTTAGATGATTATCTTTTGCTCCGACAGCTTCATAGCTGGGCCACGTTGTTCATAGAAGCGGAGACCATACACAAAGCAATTGTTGTGTATTTTGAACAAAATCCGGGAATTTCTGAAATTGCAAACAGTTGCTGGAATCAAGGAAACTCTGGCAGCAGCACTGCCAGTTGATTGACTAGCCACTATCTGATGGCCTTGATTTGAACAAATAGAACGATGCAGACGATGAAACAAAGGACCCCTCAAACTCGGGGCCACCTTGAATATCTCACCTACTAGATAACTGTAGCCTCTTCGAACAAAAGCAGGTGGGGGCTGTCATTGACATGAAGGATAAACAGGCGGCGCATATGAATGTTACATCAGAAACAAAGCCCGTAAGAAAGTGCAATCCAGCGGGTTGACGACAACGAGTGTGATATTTTTTAAATCCATGCATTATTTGTACCCATACTTCTTTTCCTGTTCACTCCCAGTGAAGAGGGGATTGGGAGGATCATGGCCTTCCACCGCCCTACTAGCTTCCCGGAGGCCTATTCTTGGCGGGGTACCGGACACGTGATCATCGCCCCCCCAGGATCTTCACGTGGTCTTCTGATCCCTCGTCTTTTTCCACGGAGTGAGTTCTTTCCGCTGTTATTTGTAACAATATGAACGTCATGTTGTAGAATCCCTCCGCTTTGAAGATCTGTTGAGCAATCCAGAAAATCCCCTCCCCCTCACACCAACCGAATATCTTTAAAACCGCGATAATTGAGCAGTATTGTGACGTTTTGTTGATCAAAAACAGCACCGGTGATGGGAACCAGACGGAAAGGGATAATGCGGCAGGAGGTATGCATTCTGTAAAGGGCCATATGCTGCGATTGGTCAGCTTTAAAGAAGGAGTGACTTTGTAAAACCTACAGTCTGCTGCTGTCAAATACCGAATTTTCAGCCTCTCTCCATACGTGACGGAAAACCCAGTGGGCCACAGCTAGCCCGCAAGAGCACAAAACCAGCAAGAATTCTGGCGAAATGCTGTGTTTCATTGGCTCATTCTGCTCAGCAAGGATTTTTGCTACATGGTGATGGATACCATGAGAGACGCGTTGAGCTTCTAGTAAGGAAGGTGTCATGTTAGTTCCGTGAAGAAGTGAAGACTGAGTTTGTAGTTGTTTTTGATCTGACCGAAGAGTGCAGACAGGAGTTTATATATGTGTCGTGCTGCGCAAGGCCCAGTAATGCCCTCGGACTGAACTTCCTTATATAGCGCCCTCTACCGGCTCTCATCTTGAAAGTGTAGTGATTCCGGCATACGGTGAGGCTGACTCGATTGCGATATTGGAGGATCAAGTTGTGGCACCAATCATACCTCACAAATGAGCGAGTCCGTTATGCGGTGCCTTCAGCTGTGTACCAAGACGCGTGATACGAAATGCCGCAATTTCGGCAATAGACCTAAAAGAGTAGTAATCATGATACGGGCGGCACAAGAGTTAGTATGTGGTGGCGTTGAAATGCCGAGCGCCATAAAAAACGCCTTGGGCTTACCCTGTACTATCGATCATCAGGTTCAGCGCATATGATGCTCATCATCGAGTTCACATATTGGTCTTGACTTCGCCAAGATTTCGAGCCGAAGGGGGCATAAGAAATCCAAGTACAGCGATCTTGAGGCTACGGTTCACCTTCTACCTTGATTTCTCCTATAAGGGATTCTTGCACGACCAGCGACATTACGGTTCACTGTTGGTGTATATTGCAGGTGTGGCTCAGTCAGCTGCGAGCTAGTAGGCCAGCTTCATGAGATACAGCAATGCGGCGCCTTCAGCCAAACCATCTTATTGGGTCAACTTAGTGACCTTGGACATATGAAATGCTCGAGACAGCTAAAAGTGGTTTATCCTTTCCATAGAGCCGTACGGTAAGTATTTACTACGAAGACTTTTAAGCATCATTGATAACAGCCTTTTTCGGCAGCCTAAAATTCTTTGGAAATATGAAGACGCCTAGCGGCCACGGTTCTTGTTCTCATTTTGACTGCAACTTCTCCTACGCGTACGCAACTAACTATTTAACGCAATCTCAAGTCTCGTATTTAAAGATTGGCATACGATCCGCACGAACATGAGTAACACTATCCACGGCATATGTGGCTCCTGTAATGAATGGTGGAACACGGTTGCAAAAAAGGTCAGAAGGCTGAGTGACAAGAGCAAAGTCTTGAACAGAAGGATGATACTCAAGGCAGGGCAAACAAGTAGACTCGCCGCCAATGTTCCCGATACATTGACAGAACTTTGAAACCCAACCCCCGTGTGCGAGCCTAATGGCCGCAAACCTATCTACCAGGTCGCACTTGTTTAAGCGCACCAACTTAAGGGCGGGCCCAAAAGTTCTTTTTAAGGTTTCCGTAGTTAGCGCTCCGACCGCAGCGAACCGGTTCTTAGGACCCAAAGCACCATACGCCTGTACCACCAGGTACGACCTTGGTACGTCTTTCTTGGACTTAGCAACACTAATGAAGCATTGGCAAGAAGATAGCGGAGCGCCTTTGTGGCATACTGCTATACTACCAGTCTCCTTCACAAGGTACCCATGCACTTGTCCGTTATGAAACACAACACCAACGGAGGTTGTGAGTCTCTGCAAAGCTAACTTAAGATCAGTATTTTGATAAATCCCGATCACTCTAACTAACCTCTCACGTGTTTTATCAAGAACTTTGCTTGTTTTTTCTTGCCAGAGAACAGACAAAGCGTTGTTCCCGCTGCTTGCGCCTTTAACCAGTGTGTCCATGCTTCCTCCACTCCCACCATGTCTGTAGCCGCTAGTTCCGAGCATTTCTTCTTCCACTTAAGGATCTTTTCATATCTCAGAAAATCGCGCAATCTTGCTTTCGGCCCAAATTGCTCTATAACCATGAATTGTAACTCCTTTGGAAGTTTGCAAAAACGCTCTATCAGCTCTTTGGAGTCTTCTAACTTGGCTCTTTGGCTGCTGAAACGATACATACCATCATTGACTTTGCAGGAGACTGTCCCATGAAACACTGTACGGCCTTTGCTATGCCTTGCATTGATACTTGTTTCTTTGCTTAGAAGATAATCGACAATTTTGACTTCGCCGCAAGCGACCGCGCCTTGAAGAGCCGCGTGGCCTTTGTTATCCTTTATGTTGATGCTTACGCCCTCATTGACTAGAGAGTTGACGATATCTACGTCGCCGCGAGCTACTGCTATATGGAGTGGAGTCAAACCTGACACGTTTTTTACATCCATGCATGCCCCCTTCTTAGATAGCACAGCGAATACCAACTGTCCTTCACTGGCGGCTTCGTGGACAGGGGTATTGCCTAAGCTGTTTTGTGCATTTATATGAGCACCTTTGTCAACGAGGAGGACAATGGCCTTTCTTTTGCCGTGAGCAGCTGCTATATGAAGTGGAGTCCGACCAAGATCATCATTTGCATGAACGTCTGCCCCATTGTCTAAAAGATAAGCGATGGTTTTTGCGTGACCGCGTGCAGCTGCGTCGTGGAGCGCAGTACGACGTCTTCGATCTGTTGCGTCAACGTACATTCCTTTGTTGTGAAGGCAACGAACTGAGCCGACACTGCCGCTAGCAGCTGCCTCGTGAAATGCGGTACAGCCAAGATAGTTCTTTATGGTCATATCTGCCCCCTTCTCAACAAGCAGATTTACTGCTTTTTTCTTGCCACCGGCAGCTGCTTCATGAAGCGGAGTCCAACCGAGATCATCTCTCGCATTGATTGCTGCTCCTTTATCCAAAAGACGCTTGATTGTTTTGACATGGCCACGAGAAGCGGCTTCGTGGAGCGCGGTACGGTTGTTGAGGTCTGTAAGATCGGCCCTGAAACCTTTAGAGAGAAGTAAAACCACTGCTTTGCTATGACCCCAGAGACAGGCTATGTGTACTAGTGATTGCCCGTCTATTGCAGCTTCAGGGCCGATGCGCTCTCTATTGATTATGCGCTGTATTTTATGAATATCGCCATCAGCTACAGCTGTGCTGAGTGTAGACCTGGTTTTCATGTCGTGGTCCATGAGTTGATTTACTCGTCCTTCGTTTTAGACAGACCCTGAAGTGTCTAGCCTTGAGCCCTTAGCGTCCCTACGTCGCATGTACGACTTCGGAAAAATGCAGTATGTTAAGACTTATTAGTCATAATGATATGATTGACATAATTTTTTTTCTAGAGGTAACTAATTAACTACCTGTGAGAAGTTAAGAATTCTACGCACTAAAAAGATGGCAGTACATTTTAAAGGGCTTAGCTTATACTTAACTAGTTGAAAATATCTTTTTATAGTTTGCCAGACAGTATACTCCTCATTCACTTGCAGCTTCCGCTTTGCACATGTGGCTCAGTTTGCATCTCACGCATGACATGAACCCATTTGCTATGTGCTTGTCCAGAAAGTTTTAGACTCCGTAAATATCATACATTAATCGGTCGAATGTGTAAGAATAGATCGACCCATGGCGTTGCTGACAGGAACTAATACTACTTGAGCAAGATGACCGCCAAGCGAGGGAGACCTGGCGTGGGATGAAAGGTCGCCTGCTTATAGAAACCGGAAGCTGTAAGCGTATGAGGGTATATGTACAAACGTTCAGAAAAAGATCATATTGCCTGACAAACATGCGGTCACTATTAACAACAGGCCTGGTGCTGCACTATGGGTTGACACAAGGCAGAGGAAGGGCGACAAGAATCCATCCCACTGCAGATATGACCGCTTTTAAGGTAATTTTTATTCCGAACTATCGCTTAGAGGAGCGAAAATATCTGTAACGTCCATCCCTACGTTGAGGAACAAAAATTACATCGTGATGGACGCCTGCACGCCGTAGTCACCCAATCGAACCTTCTAATTATGCCAAAGTCCATGCCCATACTATAGCTGTATACAGTACTATTCAGCTACGCTTCACGTCCGGATCCTTTCGAATTGATAAATCGACTTACCTCAGCTTTGAGTAGCTAGCCTCCTAATGCAGTTAGTACAAGTACAAGACTGATCTTGCACTCATAATACGAGTAGCGTGTAACTAGTTTACCATTTACAAGTATTCTCATCAAACAGCTTATAGACTTTCTTGATGACCTAGAGTCTATGCGGGAGATTATTGGTCCCTGCGAATCGTTCATTACGCTACGCAATGACACAGCCTACTTTATAAAAGTAGTCAGCTAAAAACGTCATGTTTGCGAAAGTATGAAATCATTTCTTGCCAGACGGTACGAATTACATAGACTAGGACTTTTTTTACAAAATCACTTACTAAGAAGCTCATTAACTGGTGACTATGTACGCTTATGCCCATAATATTTCCATTGTACCCGCGAGCCGCCCGCTCTGCTCGTATAGGGCTGCAAGTTGCAGCACTAGTATGACTACGTTGGAGCGAATTTTGCTAAGCTGAGTCCGATCTTGCCAGATAGCCTCTGATATCTCCATTGCATCCAGGAGGCGACCGCTCTACTCATACAGCGCTTCAAGTTGCAACGTTGCAAGCTGTGGCGCTAGTTCAACGACATCGCGGTGGATATAGCCACTCTTGGTCCGATACCGCCAGATGGTCCCCAATATATCTAGTGCGTTCTTTTGTTGATTGTTTTCTAACAGTGCAAAAGCAAGTTTTGTACCTAGAGCGGATGCTTCTCTAGGCCTCTGAGGAAGAATACTTTCGAAAAGAATAATTGTAGACTTTGGCTTTTCTATCGCATGATCATACATCGATTGGTTTGCATGGTCGAATTTCCAGGCCTCCTCCGCCAGAAATTAGGAGGAAAGGGTATGTTTTCGGTTCCTTTCCATGCTGCACTCGCGTCTCATCTCCTTGCTGGTGAGGCGAAAATTGGCGTAGTCTTTTCGAAAGTATAGGCATCGCCAGATATATACAATAAGCTCAGGTGGAAGTTCATTCATGACTTGTAAAAAGGTCTGGCACTCAGGTGCTCAAGTGAGAAGCTATCAAAGCAAATGGGTAAGTGTGGGAATGGAACGATGGGCTACGTAGTTACCTATAGTTGATTGGTTGTAGTCAATTATGAATGCTCTTTCATGTATATCCCCCTTGGTCACACCCAATTGAAATGGCTTCTTTGCGCAAACAACGTGATGACCTATGGCTATCTAACTTTATGACTGTCCTACCATCAGATAGCGGTCTAACCCAAAGAGACGGAGTGATGACACTGGCACATTAGTAGTAAGTGAACACATCCCTAAATATCATAACCGAATGTTATCAGCACTGTCACAATCAATACAATTTTGCAACTGGTGGTGTCTCTAGCATTTCCGTGGCTTCCACTGCCTGAATATCGCTCATTCTTGCCACCTTGCCTTTTCGCACCGATGGGCCAGTCTCTGCTTCCGACTCAGTACTCTTTCGCTTCCGGCCACGCCTTAATGTATCTGTGGAGGCCGTAGCTTCTGCTGTATCCTGTGCAGCATTCTTGCCCTTTTGGCCATTTTTCCCTCTAGCTTTAGCCTTAGCTTCTTTGGCCGCCGCGTCTTCCACTCGCTTCAACCGTTTGTCTTGGAGATGCTCATAGCTCAACACCTGCCCAGACCTCTGATCGAGTTTGTCGACTCTAGTTGACCGTCGAGGCTTAGCTTCGTTATTCACCGCCGTCAACAGTCGAATGTGGTTTTTCTGGAGAGCATTCTTAGTTAGTGATAACTGGGTAGCTTTGGCGAGGTTTAGTAGGTGTCGCTGCAAGTTCTGCTTGCTCGTTTCGTCAAGAACATGGGCGTCCTTCTTTCAGGTGAGATTTTTCACTACATTTTCTTGACAGTATGCTTCTTGGATTTACCATACGAGTCACTTCGGTTGGAGGTTTGGACACAGTCCTCAACATTCTATCTGGATTGAGTGGGAGCAAGCCACTTGCAGCAAAACTAGCCTTGATGTTCTTTGTTGTGAGTGCTTGCTCTCTCGCAGGCTTGTATAGGTAGGTAAAATGCTCTTTGCCAATGGTAAACACCGCTTCTCTCCAACCGTTCGACCTGCTCGCGATAGGCCGTCTTCAGCGGGCCAAATACAGCAACGTCGCAAGGCTGAAGCTTGTGAGACGTATGAGAGGGCAGACGGCACAAGATGATGCCGTTTGCAAAACAGTACTCTAAGATCTCAAGCGTCTAATGCGTCCCGAAGCCGTCAAAGATTAGTACACGCGGTCTCCCATTAGCACGTTCCTTGGTCTCGGGATCAAACACGCGCTTGAGCCACTGCAAGCTGATGTTGGAGTCGGTGTATCCAGACTCATTGTACGCATAATGCCATCCAGGAGTAGGAAAGGTAGTCCAGTTACTTCGGTGGGTGGTAGCCGGCCAAATGATCATCGGGTTTAGGCACCTACCGTCAGCGCTAATGCACTCGATAGCAGCCACCATCGTTCGCTTCACGCGCGCGCCTCTATACCTTCGTTTGTCATCCTTACCTACGAGCACCTTTACGGAGCCAAGCATAGATAGTATGACCCCAGTCTCGTCCATATTGTAGACATTCCCCGCTACGATGGCTGGATCGCGCAGTACCTCCCCGATCACTTCGAACCAGTGTGTCATCTTATCGGCGATGTTGTTCTTATGGCAGTTCTAGTCTAGCGCTGTGACGCGTCTCGCCGCCGTCTCTGGGTGGCGCTTCTCGAAGGCCTTTGCCCAGTTCTTGCCTGGAGGCTTGGAGGGTCTGTCCGTCACGGGTCGACTGCGGGTAGCGACAAAGGCGAGCGAGGGGATGTACTTGATTCGTACGGGCCGTCCGAGATCTGACATGTGTAAGATGAACTTGACGAGGGCGCTCTGTTCCCATGGTGTCAGGTACTGCTGGCTCTGTGCCTTGTCCTGCATCGAAGGCCGGCCATGAGCGCGATGATGGAGGGCACTGCGAGCGACTCCGCCGTGGTCTGCTAAGGTACGGTATGATCTACGCACGCCAGGAGGGACGCCTTATGCTACCACTTGCCATGCCTTATCTACGATTATCAGCAACAATCACACAAAAACCTTTGGTGCAAGAGGTCTAGCTTTAATGGAGGTGTGTAGTGTTGAAGCAGATACATAATAGCTAGTCTGGGATACTGAAGTGGGTGGTGTGGTAGGCCCATGCTCATGCAAACAAACTTTCGACCTTGTACTGTATCAAGCCTCGGCTGTTGCCTACTTGGCTTGGTTCAAGCACGGTTTCAGCCATCAGCCATTAGCTGCACGTACAGTATCAAGTCATTCTCAATTTGTATTGAGATGGGTAAATCAGACACCTGGGGTCCTAAATCCAGGGTACATGGCAAAACAGTACGATCGCATACTACAGCCAGTGAGCCAGGTAGTTCGCCACGTTCAGCCCTGCGCAAGTGCTGGTGCCTTCCCAGCCATCACCACGGCATGAGTGTGAGAAAAGAACGAGTGTATTCAGATATGACTAAGTATTCTATGGTGGGCGGTGGCTGTTAAATATTCTACAGCCGACGCTGGTCTGTTTGGTGTCATATGGCTGGGCTGAAACCAACAATGAGGGCAGGACTGTGGTGCGAGTACAGGACCAGCTCAGCCACCTGTTTATGCCTAGAAAGTATCACATGCGATCATCTAGTTTTTAACGAACGGGATAGTGAGTTCGTCACTGCAGGGATACGGCCGCGCATTACAAGCAGATCTGGAGCCATCAATGTGATTGGACTGGGGTGCCCCATTGTGCCCTTCCAATATCAAAGGGGCGCCGCCAGCCAATCAGCGCTGAACACGCCTCACGAGATTGTTCCGCTTATACGTATGGTGCCCCTATGAGGCTCAACTCTCTTACCCAGAGACTGCCGATTGGCCAAGGGTGCCCCTTCTGTTCAAGTGCAGCGAAGCCGCGGCGATTTGTGACAATCCCGATCAAACGCAGAACTTAGTTATAATGTTGCGTACTTGCCCATCAGCCGTAATATCATCACTTACTGTCATATTCACGCTCTCCATCATGGACAACATCATTGAACCTCCAAAGTTACCAGAAGAACTTGCCGACGTTAAACAAGGACGACTTGTCTCTCACCATTTGGACCAAACATGCACACATGACGAAAAGAGCATCCTGCGTCTCCAGGCTATCGCCAACAACAATGTACGAAGTAATTACGTGCAACGACTTACGGTTAGCGGCGAACGAAATGGAAACCTACCACACAACTCAGAACGCTGCGAAAAGTGGCGCTCACAACTTATTGGCACAATCCCACACTTTCCCCATTTACGGGAGCTGATAGTGGACAACGTAACAGTTGGATACCCCGAAGACAAAGATCGATGCGAAGATGATGATCAACTAGGAGCCATGTCGCGGAGAGCTATCTGCAGCTGCGTTTTTCGTGCTGTGCTCGATGGCCTTACAAAACATAGCTGCCCCCAAGTTAAAGGATTTGACTTTCGTATACGTGCGTACGACACTAAACAGCCACATGAGACCCTTCTCAATCCAAGTTCTCAGTCATGGAAAGAACATTTTGCTCCCAAGACCAAATCTTTGAAACTCATCACTTACGACTCTGACGACTCTGGCACCTTACCCTGGGACACAGACCTACTTCTTTCTATCCCAGCCTTAGATGTCTTTCATCTCGAAGGAAACATCTTGGACTCAGTATGGCCTAAGCTTACATGGAAACCACTTCACACGGTCGAGCTTCACGATTTGCACTTGCCCCCAAATGCCTTTCTAGACTTCATCAGTAGGCACAACCAAACCTTATCTAAGATAACTCTGATCGATATCGAATTGGACGAATTTACTTGGAAAGAGCTGCTGCAGAGGGTCACGGAATTAAATCGGCTCTCTGTCCTTGACTTGTGCAACTTAGGCCAAGAAACCCCTTCCTCCAGAGTACCTGATTCATTCAAACCTGTGTATACAGAAAAAGAAGCATCAGAAATACGTCTTTCAAGCAGAGATGAAGTTCTAATCGCTTCAGATATCCTTATTAATCATTTTTGGACGTCTAAGAGGGCGAATACACCTGGATATGTAGTTGATTTTAGGTTAGTAGCAGCCGTTGTAAATGGCGAAGTTGAATACAAGGATGGAAGATGGGAAAATGTTTCCTAGCGCAGGAACTCCTACTGTAATAACTAGTCTAGCATATATTTCGGATCCTGATCTGTTCATCACACAGAGACGTAAGCGATAAGAAACAACAATGCCAATCATTCTGCTTACGCTCATGCTTACACTCATGCGTATTACATCAAACCGACCTAGATTTGCACAGTCTCTAGACTTCCACGGTATGTAAGATACATACAAGACTTCTGACAAATGCTCAGTGTGGGCGATCAGCATAGATAGGTAAGCGCAGAAATTTCGTGCATGTCTTGGGAGCGTAATTCACGGCGCAAAGCGTTGAGGTTGAAGGTATGTAAAGGTGCGGTTGGGTGACATTAGTGAGATGCGAAGGCGACCAACACCCTTTACATAAAGGCAGACTGCAGTCAATTACAAGAAGCAACATTGCAACGTGTGAGATAAACCAACGTCCATCCCCGGGTCACGGGACGTACCTCGTCATGGGACAAATGGTCGATATATTGGATTAAAAAAACCGATCTTCGAGCGCGTGAGACCTATCTTTAACATTCTAACTGGTACTTCTTTCTTCACCTACTATAGACTGCGCTTGTCTTTAATAAAACAGGACCTAACTACAAAACAACTAACTACTTATTCAATCACTATTGAAATCGGAATCCTTTGCAGACTGCTAATCTCTGAATATGAATAACAGGCTCACAAGATCTATAACATTCACTTTGAGATCTTCGATTTTTTTGACAGTCCGCCCTCCCATGGCCGAATCTCCTTCAGCAAGCACCGTGATGCCAGCTCTAAGCCTAACGTTAGTTAAGCTTAAAACAACAACTTAACTGACGCTCTATGCTTACTAGATACATCTACACACCAACGTCAAGTTTTCTAGAATAGGTGTAATTTTCGTTAAATATATACAAATCCCTTACAAGAAACTAATTATAGCAAGTTTTAAGACGTGCAGCGTGCGCGCTGTGGAGCTATAAGCTATAAGAGCAGATAGTCAAGACACGTCTCACACTCAAACAAAAACACACAGACCACTCTGCTTAGTAATAAGAGAACCCCAGCAACAGAATGCCACCAGAAAGCGATACTATCGAAGCCCAAGTGCTAGAACAGAGACAAGAGAGCCTAGGGCCCAGAGGCTCAGAGTCGACAGGGG